TCAAAGATTTTGTCTTAAACTGCGCAACATTGATCCACTTTCTAAAAGTAGGAGACTAGAGCCTTTGGCATTATCCTAGGCTCTTTATCATCTTGTGGAGAAATCGTGAATGTTTCCTTCTCAATCACCCAGTGATGACGTGAAAAATTTTTATATTCGCTACCACGCAACTAAGAATGTAAAGTATTCTTCTCTAATGGAGTAATCCATTAGTAGGCACATCACTTCCACTATCCCTAGGATATTGGAAATTTCTTTCCATTCTCAACTAGGTTACATAAAGCGCTATGCTTAGAATTCTCTATCTTGTAGAGTTCCAAAACTCTATTCACGTCACATTTACTAAGAAAACTTTATGTGACTTAGTTACACTACCACAAAGCTGCTTACCTATATGCACATGACCTGGAGGGTTTACATGACCGTATACAATAATGTGCCACATGACCCTATGTGTTTACAAGACAGCATACAATAATGCGCTATAGAACCCTAGGTCTTAACTTCGCAACCTTATGAGAAGTAAAAAAAAAGATAAGCTGCTTAACGGTTACAGATCGCCCATAGATGACTCTCCGCAAACCCATTACTCAAATGGAGTGTAAAATCTGATATAGAGGGCACCTAGTTAGGGATATAGCAACAAACTAGTGCAATTCCCAATTGGAAAACATTTTGCGCCATTATCCACCTAACATTAACAATATTTAATTCCTTATCTCTACTACACCATTGTGTTGTTGAGTACTAGGAATAATCAATTTTCTAAGCATCCATTTCTCTTCACAAAGCTTTCTAAAAAATAACTCAAATAGATACTCGCCACCTTAGTCAAAACTAAAAGCACGAAAGTTGTTGTCTAATTGATCTCAACCTCTTTGACTTATGGGAGATCAAATAGTCTTGACTCAGATGCGTATCATAATCTATAAATATGTCGAGATTGAGGCTTAGCTTTCATACCCTTACACATATCTAGTCACAAATATCATAGTGGACTAAATGCGCCAAAACAAATGACCTTCTAACGGCTTTCCTACTTACTTGTGCGCACCCATTGCGAACAAAGTTACACATTCACATGAGAGCAGGATATCATAAACGAGTGGGCCCAAGAAGGCCTACTCAAACCATCGTATCATCATCTCATTAATGTGATTAAGTATAATAAGCCACCGGTTCATGACTAATGTCATAAACTAATTCCAATCATCTTAATGTGTGAGTTCTCGAAGACAAGTTTTAAAGGTTTAGGCTCAACTAGGTAATGACTCACAACTAATTCATATTCACTAGATCATAAAAGGATGTCATGGAGATACCAAGTGCGCTTAAGTCGCAAATTTAACTAGTAAGTGCTAATCCCCTGCACCTTCAAGTCAATTTTATTCTCCATACACTTTACTACATCTAATTGAAAGATGACGATACTCCTCTTGCCATCTATGTTTCTCGTTTCATAGTTACTTGTAATTAATTCTACTATCCACAAGAAGAAGAGAATAAGCTATCAATCTATGATAGCTCCTGAAGTAACTTAAGCGCGAATTAGGCTAAAAAGTCTAATTCAACACAATGCTCTCACAAGCGATGCGTCAAATTCTTAGAGTCATAACAACCTTGTCAGCCTTGACCTTTTCATTACTATGCTGCAACGTTTGCGCTTAGTGGTAAACGTTATTCAAAACAAAACATTAGCCTAGTAAAGGAATCACACAAAGAAGCACATCATCATGTCTCACACTCAAGTATGGAAACAGTAAGTGTCCAGACTTAGACAAGTTGGCCATGCTAATAGATTCTGCAGCCACTTGGCACTAATCTTTTCACTTAGTGTTAATAGATTTTGCTACTACTAAGCGCTAATCTTTTAACTTCAAGTGATACTTCAATGCACACTATTATAGTGCGTAAAATTTTGCTCCATCCATTTCCAATAATTAGGTAGAGAGCAAAACGCTGCTCATACTGGCTACTCGTCTTACACTTAATGACTAATTTATTTAAGCTCGCATTTCTTAAATGACGTGAATCTTGAATGTTACTTCATCCAATGATGCAACATCATTACAAGTCAAATTACAAAGTCAATCTGCGCAGCTCAATAGTCAAGATCATATACAGATCTATTAAGGGCTTAATAATTTCATAACTCCAAAACTTGCCAACCAAAACTACATAGCATGCCGCTAACCATAGCGCACACATTAGTTTTTACTGTGCCAAACAAGGCAAAAAAACCACGGCGACTTTGAATCATGTTTCCTTACTTTGGCTCAATTAAGGTCTGACCTAAAGTCTCCAAGATTTTTGCTCATCTAAAGAATAGGGATTACATTGTTCACATTTGAACATCTCTACTAAGTCTAGGTCAACCAATTAACTTTCATAAGCTAAGTCAATTTAGAGAGAAATTCGTATTGGGATTAATTTGATTAGCATAATATAATTTTGCCACAAAAATCTAAATTAAATAGTGACAATATTACACAAGTTGCAAGATCGAAAATCCGCTATGCTCATAATCATCTCTTGCGCCACATGTGACAATTATCCAAAATTTAATTTAATTTATGTGCAAAATATTGGTTTTCGGGAGTTAATCTACAAAGATTTCTCTCAACCGAATAACCTCCCACTGACTATGGCATGTCCAAAAGCATGATAAAAAAATTTAATTCCATATAATAGCATTATAATGTAGATCCACAACCAACTCATGCTATGTCACAATTAATAATAGAATTTAAACAAATAATAATTAATCATGTTATTCTAATTACAACATATTAGAAACTCTAGACAAAAAAAAACAATATGTTGTATTTAATATTCAAATCATGCCATAACAGAAAGTATATCACTTCTGAAATTTTCTGGAATTTTCTGGTATTTTCTGAAATTTTAAATAACTAATAAGCACACATAAAATTAGAAATAAATATTCCAGAATCTGGTAAAATGCAATAACTATACCAGTAAATAGTAAACTACAACAGTAGTCTACAATAAAAAATTCAGCCCCAGAAACTTAATCATTCAACACCATATGCATTTTAAAGCAGAAATAATGAATTATTATTTCAGGAAAAATATTTTTTATTTTCATAAAATTTTGAAAATTTTACAGAATATAGAAAATTTAATTCTGAGTCTAATGGTCCCAACCACGCTTAAAACAAAGCTATAACGAATTAATTATGACCATTTAACGCGATCTACACTCACTCGTGCCTGTCGAGGTCGAAATTTAAGATGGTCCCGAGGGGCGTGTGCCTACGACCAGAATGAATACTGCTTAGATCACACACAGGGCCACAGCGCCTTCCACCCCTTCCAAAATCGCCTTAGAGCGCTGAGGTAACGACGCTGCCCCCAAATAGCCAGACGCCACTTTTAGCAACCGCACGCTGGATCACGGAGCGCGCTGTTCGCCATTTTCACTTGCTGAGGCCGCGCGCCGGTGCTTGAAAACGGGC